GAACCTGGGACCTTTCAGTCTGCAGGCTGACGCTCTATCCACTGAGCCAAACCGATTTCGGCTCAAACAAACTTCTTTAGGACAGTTTTAGATGTTTGGATGTCCAGAAAGGTTAAAAGACAGTACGCAGAGTTCCTATAAACCCTCAGCCCCAGGTTCTCCCTGCCACCTTACAGTGTGGTGCATTTGTTACCGTTCATGAGCCATATGATACACGAGAGGCCCGGTGCTCCAAATACTGCAGGGGGGCAGGGGAGGGGAGTGGGGGTCCCGCTGCATGGCCTGCACCCTCTTGCAATCCAGGACCCCTTGGGGGATGTTCCCCCCACCAGCCCTCTCACAATTCGGGACCGCTGGCTCCTAACCGCTCACCTGCCTGCCTGCCTGATGCCCCTAACTGCTGGCCTGCCTGCCTGATGCCCCCTAATCACCTCTGCCTGCCTGCCTGAAGTCCCTAACCACTCTGCCTAGGCTCTGCAGCCACGGCTTTGTCCAGTCTAATTATTACGTTTTTATTACTATAGATGGATTATCATCAACCACACCCCACTCCCAGGGTCCCCTGGCATCGTACAGAAGGCGGTGCAGCTGGTCCAGGAGCCAGTATGCAAAGAGCCCTGTGGGAGCCTGGAAGAGCAGCCTTAAGGTTCTGGGTGCTCTGGGCCGACTCTGGGCCGCCCTGTGCTCTGTAGGGCATCGAGGATCACCCTGACCTCCGCCTTCGATGTGGAGGGTGTGATAATGGGGCACGGCCAGATGCCCCCCAGTGCTCCCCTCAGCCGAGACCCTGCCCTCCAGGGGCCGCAGAGAGCTTTCCGGGAAGATGGAAACACTCTGCTGTGCGGTCCCGTCCCGGTGGCTAGCGAGGCGGCAGAGGGGCTGGGTTTTTACTTTTTCTTGTTTAATTAAGTTAAGTAGCCGTGTGGCTGCTGGCTGCCTCCAGAGCAAAGGCTTGTTGGTGCTAGGTCCCAGCCTGACCCTGACCCTGGCCCACAGCGGGCTCAGTCTGGCCTCGCCCGCGCCTGCTCGCAGGCGTGAACTCACTTCCGTTTCCCTCTGCCGTGCTTGGGTGCTCACCTCTGCTCCATGAGTCACCGGGTTGGCTGCTTGCCCTTCAGGCTCCCTCCCTCCCCCCCTCCCTGCTGCCTCTGTCCAGGCAGAGCCCGAGCGGGGGGCGATATCAGCATGTTCCAGAGTGTTCCGCCCGCAAGGGCCAGGCGCTGGCTGTGTAGGACACACACCGAGCACTCACATGAACACTTACATGGCCCAGGAGGGTTTGGCTCAGTGGCTAGAGCATTGACTTGTGGACTGATGGGTCCCGGGTTTGATTTTCGGTCAGGGCACATGCCCGGTTGTGGGCTCAATCCCCAGAAGCCAATCAATGATTCTCATTGATGTTTCTATCTCTTTTTCCCTCTTCCCTTCCTCTCTGAAACCAATAATAAATTAATTAATTAATTAATTAATTAATTAAAAAAACACACAAAAACAAGCACAGCTGAAACCAGTTTGACCCAGTGGATAGTCTTCGGACTGAAGGGTCTTGGATTCGATTCTGGTCAAGGGCATATACCTTGGTTGCAAGCACATCCCCAGTAGGAAGCGTGCAGGAGGCGGCTGATGGATGTTTCTCTCTCTCTCATTGATGTTTCTAACTCTCTCTCCCTCTCTCTTCCTCTCTGTAAAAAATAAATAAAAAATATTTAAAAACAAAAACAAAAAATAAGCACACAGGCTCTCACCCCTGGGAGAGCCTCCAGGCCCCACCACGGGCTCTCCCTGATGGCCCCCTCCCAGGGACTGAGGTCATTTCTCCCCCTTCAGATCCTGGGCCCCTCTCCCCTGGAAGCTGCAGCCCCGAGCCCCACGGTGCTGCATGGAGCTTGTCTCTCCTCCACGGGCCCCGTTGGTGATGGCTGGCCTGTCCATCCCAACTCCCCCCGACAAAGACGTGGCCGGCGATGCCTGTTAATCGCACGGCTAACAGTGCTGGCCCTGCGCCTCAGCACGCAGACACAGGCCCAAGAGGGAGGGGTGAGCGCAGGTCCAGACTGGCTATGTGGGTCTGAACAGGAGGGGACTGTCCAGCCGGCACCATCGACTGCCTGCTGGCAAACGTCACCTCGGCTGCTGTGTGGTGATTTGTGTCTCGAGTAAACAGTGGTTATGTAAACAGCTGATTTTTACCCGGCCATGACTCGCTTCCAGGCCCTGCCCTGAGCTGTGCCGGTAGTAACCCCCGTGAACCTTCTGCACTGCCCCAGGGGTTTGGTGCTCTTATCCCCGTTTTACAGATGAGAAGACAGAGGCACGGAGAGGGTGGGTTAGCTGCCCAAGGCTGCACAGCTGCTGGCAGAGCAGGGATGAAGTACTGGGCTCGGGGCTCCTGAGCCTGGCCTCCCGCCGCTGCCTCTCAGTGAAGGTGTTGGTGCCCCCCTGGCTGGGGCACTCGGTGGTGGCACAGTTGTTCCGACACCAGAGGGTGCAGATTTGACTCCCAGTCAGGGCACAATCGTAGGCTGCAGGTTTGAACCCCAGTTGGGGTGGGTGTGGGAAGCAACCAATCGACGTTTCTCTTCCTCTCTCCCTCCCTCTCAAATCCGTAAAAACACACCCTCAGGTGAGGATTAAAGAAAGATGGTGGTCCCTCCAGTTCTGTTCAGACGCTGTCCCTCAGGCACATGACGAGCACCGAACCACGGTCCTTGGCCGAGGAGGGAGACAGGGAACAGCTGAGCGGAGGCAGTGGACAGACACCTGACCCAGGAGGGGGCTGCCCGCGCAGAGGCCCTGGCAGGCACGAAAGCACTGGGGCAGTGGTCGGCAAACTCATGAGTCCACAGAGCCAAATGTCAACAGTGCAACGATTGAGCCGAAGCCGGTTTGGCTCAGTGGTAGAGCGTCGGTCTGCGGACTGAAAGGTCCCGGGTTGATTCCGGTCAGGGGCATGTATATTGGTTGCGGGCATATCCCCAGTAGGGGGTGTGCAGGGGGCAGCTGGTCGATGTTTCTCTCTCATCGACATTTCTAGCTCTCTATCTCTCTCCCTTCCTCTCTGTAAAAAATCAATAAAAATATTTTTTAAAAAACAGTGCAACGATTGAAATTTCTTTGGAGAGCCACATTTTAAAACTCAAACTTCTTCTAATGCCACTTCTTCAGAATAGATTCGCCCAGGCCGTGGTATTTTGTGGAAGAGCCAACTCAGGGGGCCAAAGAGCCACATGTGACTCAAGAGCTGCAGTTTGCCTATCACGGGCATCCATTTATTTATTTATTTTTTAGAGAGAGGAGGGAGGGAGGGAGAGGGGGGAGGGAAACATCCACATGAGAGACACATTGGTTGGTTGCCTCCTGCACGCACCCCAGCCGGCGCCTGGGATCAAACCTGCAACTGAGATATGTGCCCTTGACCGGGAATGGAACCCTCAATCCATTGCTCTAACCACTGAGCAACCTGCCAGGGTGATGCATGTTGTTGTTGTTTTTTTAATGGAAGTAAAATATCCATAACATAAAATTCACCATATTCACCACTTTATTTTTTTAAATATATTTTTATTGATTTCAGAGAGGAAGGGAGACAGAGCTAGAAACATCAATGATGAGTTAGAATCCTTGATTGGCTGCCTCTTGCACAACCCACACTGGGGATCAAGCTCGCAACCCGGGCATGTGACCTGACTGGGAATTGAACTGTGACCCTCTGGTTCATAAATCAGTGCTCAGTCACTGAGCCACGCTGACCGGGCCACAGCAACCATTTTATTTATTTATTTATTTATTATTTATTTATTTTTAAAATATATTTTATTGATTTTTTACAGAGAGGAAGGGAGAGAGATAGAGAGCTACAATAGAAACGTCGATGAGAGAGAAACATCGACCAGTTGCCTCTTGCACACCCCCCACCGGGGATGTGCCCGCAACCAACGTATTATACATGCCCTTGACCGGCATCGAACCTGGGACCTTTCAGTCCGCAGACCGACGCTCTACCAATGAGCCAAACCGGCTTCGGCCACAGCAACCATTTTAAAGTGTACGATGCAGTGGCTTTTGTACATGCACGATGCTGCCAGCCGTCACCTCTCCCTGCTCTGGATGTGTTTGTCCCAGAACAGGAGCCTCCTCCGCGGCCCCTCCTCTGCCGTCTGTCTCTGGAAGGGCCTGTTCTGGGCGCTCCAAACGCGCAGTCCACAGGGGGTGGCCCTGGGCGGTCTGGCTTCTGTAACGTTTCCGAGGGTCATCCAGGCTGTAGCCTCCATGCCTCCCCCCTGCACGGCTGGGCAATATTCCGCCCCGTGGACGGCCGCTATGGAGGTCTGGGTTGTTTCCCCTCGGGGCCTGTCCTGACGTGATTACACGTGATAAACACCAAGACGCTGTTCCGGACGCGTTCAGACCAGAAGAGGGTGGAACGGAGAGGCAGGCGGTCCTGGCCTCGCCCCTGGGAGCTGACCCCAGACCCGGGGCGCGCCCTTCTGGTCTGTGTGCAGCAGTCGGAGGAGGTGCAGCCCAAGGCCCGAGTGCACACCTGCGTCCCCCGCGGCCTGGCCCGTGCCATCTCCCCGGCCGCTGGTCCCGGTGACAGGCCCTCCCCGTGCAGAGTCCGAGGGCGCGGCCCGGGAGCCTAGAGAGGCGGGTTCGGCACCCCCCTCCACCCCATCATCCTCCGGTGAAGGGCACCGCCTGCAGGTCCATCCCAGGGCGGTCCACAAAGGCCGCGGGTTCCGAGACACGGCGGAGGCAGACGCAGAGCCTACAATAGGGTAGGGGCCGGCTCGGGGCTGCTGCGGGGGGCAGGAGGCGAGGGGCAGAGGGAGGAGGGGGCTGACGCGGGGTGCCCGGGTCGCGCGAGGACGCCCCGAGCGTGCTCGTCCCTCTCCGCCCCCGGCAGCCCCGCCCCGCCCCTCAGCCAGCGCGGCCCCGCCCCTCAGCCGGCGCGGCCCCGCCCCTCAGGCAGCGAGTCCCCGCCCCCAGGTTGCTAGGGGAAGTGACGTCACAGCGCGATGGCGGCGGCTCCTTCAGGCAGCTGAGGGGGAATTTAGGCCCGGGAGATCCGAGTCCATCCGTGGCGGGGAGAGGGCAAGCGTGGTCGGCAGGAGCCGGAGCAGGGGCAGCGGCGCTCGGACTGTCCCATCCGCCCCATATTGTGGCTCTGGGAGCGGCTGGGCGGCTGGAAAGCGATGGTGAAAGCGGGGCCGTGAGGGGGGCGGAGCCGGCAGCCAGACCCGCAGTAGCGGCAGCGGCGGCGCCGCCTCCCCAAGCTCAGACCCAGGAAGCGGCCGGGAGGGCAGGAGGGAGTCGGCCCGCCGCCGCCGCCGCCGCCGCCACCGCCGCCGCCGCCATGGAGCTCCGAGTCGGGAACAGGTACCGGCTGGGCCGGAAGATCGGCAGCGGCTCTTTCGGAGACATCTATCTCGGTGAGGCGCCCGTCCCTGGTCCGGGGCCGCCCCGGCCGGCGTCCGCTCGGCCCCTCCGCCCCGGCCGCGGGGACCCGGTCCCGGCCCCCCCCCCCCCCCGCCCCGGGGACCCTCCGCCCCCCGCCTCTGTCCCCGGGACCCCGCCCCGCCCAGGCAGGAGCCGGGGCCTTCCGCGCCGGCCCGCGCCGCCGCCCCGGGGGCACCTGCCCAACGTGTGCCGGGGCTGCGGGGCGCCGGGACCCCCCGGACCCGCAGGCGGACAAAGGCGGCGGCGGAGCGCGGCCCGCGGCCCGGCACGTGCGGCGGGCGGGGGGCGGTGGCCGGAGCCGGGGCCCCGCTGCCCTTCGCGCCGGGCCGGCCTGGGCCGGGCCGGCGGCGGCGGGGACGTGTTGCGCACCCAGCTCCGCGCCGGGGGCTGGACGTGCGGCGGGGCCCGCAGACCGGCCGTGTCCGGACGTTGGCCGCGGCGGAGGCGGGCGCGGCGGCCGCGCTGCCCTCGCGAGCTCGCCCCGGCTGTTGGGTGGTTCGGGCGGGTCCGAAAACTGTTTGGGGCGGGACGTTCTGGCCCGTGTCCGGCGCCCGGGGCAGAGCGCGCACAGGTGTGAGGGGCGGCCGGCCTGCCCCCCGCAAGCCGGGCATCCACCGCGGACGCTCCTGCGTGCCGGCTCCCCCAGCCCCCGTGGGGCCGCCCCTGGCCCGCGGCGTGGGTGCGGAGGAGCCGCTGTTGCGCAAGTTTGGGGGCAAACGAACTCTTCCTGCGGGTGCTGGGCTGGCGGACCTGTCAGGGAGGGTCCGGCGGCGGCCTGGGCATCAGCCCGGCTTCCGGAGGCGCTCCCCGCCCCATCCCGTCCCCGGCGGGGCCGCAGCCCTGGTGCCCCCCGCGGGAGGCTCACACCCGCTCTGGGCGCCCTCCTTCCGCTGCAGGGAACCTGCCGCGCGCTGCATCGTCGCCTTTGAACCTCTTTTTCCTCCCACTGTCCTGCGGAGTCAAATACACTTTGGAGACATTTGGATTTTACTGTTTAAATATTTATGCCCCGTCGTCAGCCGGCTGCGCTCTCAGCAGCGTTTTGGGAGGCCAAGTGCTGCGTGACTGCAAGCTGTTTGCCTTATTTATAGAGCAGTGGGGTTTTGGCAATACTCAACCTGGGACCCAGGAGCCGGGCGGAGAAGCCAGTCCGTGAGCTGCTCCTCTGCTGTTTTATTTAAAGCCTCTCGTCCCCTGGTCTGAGTGCCGGGCAGCTCTGGGAGCCCGAGGTGGGAGTTGTCACCAAGCCCTTCTCGGGGTGGGAGCTCTGAGGGACCCCGTCTGCCTGTCACCACTCCCCCTGTGGGCCTCACCTCCTGCTGGGCTGACCGGTCTCGCATATCTGACATGGGTGGGTGGCCTGTGGCACTCCTGCCTCCTCCAGAGAGCCACGCACCCCTCGGGGTTCACTGGAGTCCCTTGTGTGGGGCTGAGCACAGCCCGGCTTTTCCCACCTGCCCTGCCCCGGGCTGTGTGGAACCCAGAGGAGTGTGCAGAGAGGTCGTTAGCTAGAGAGCCTGTGGCTGGGAAGGTGGGTCTGGGGGTGCTCACCCCACACTGTAGTTAAGGGTCAAAGATGAGGTCCAAAGAGCATAGGACGGACTGAGTCACCCGGACCCAAGTTTTGTTCTGTTTGTTCAGCCACTGATTAGGCCCCGAGCCCTCATCTCGAGAATTCGTGTGTCCTTTGTCATTCTCATGCCAGCACTCCGCTGTTGTCAGAACACTCTACACCCCACCAGGTAGGTTCACCCTGTTTTGAGCCTGGCGTTTGGGGTCATGGAGGTCCCCATGAGACTTGCTGTGCTTCCATACCTTTGATACTGGGAGGAGGGAAAGGCTGTCCATCAGCTGGCTCGGGCCTCATGCACCAGGAAGTTGAGTGTCAGAAAGGGTCCTGCCCAGCCAGGCCAGTGGGTGCTTCCTGGAGTCGCCTGTTTACAGGTTGTGGTCTCTGGGGGCTGTTTCCCTAATGCCTGGGCTTAGAAAAACCTGTGTACTGGACTTGGGTCAACATGGACCCCAAAATGTGTGGTCTTAATCCTCAGCCTCCTCCCCACGCTTCCCAGGTCCCGGAGGCTCACACACCTGTGCAGCCTCGGCCACGACTCCCGGGCCTCCCCGGTCTTGGCTTCCACAGGCCTCAGCCCTGACTGCTGGGGTGACTGAAGCCCTCTCACTTTGCCTGCAGGTGCGTCTTACCTTTTGCTGACATTGGAGGATTAGAGAAGAGCCAGTGTGACCAGTGTGGACCCGGTGTGGCGGTGGGCGCTGGGAAGAGTGTGTGGTGGTGCCGTGGTCTGCACTGGGCTGCTCTGGGCAGCCATGTTCCCGGAGCCTGCAGGGGCTGGGGCGCAGGGAGCCATGCTCACGGCTGTTCTCCCTGTCTGTCTGCAGGCGGTGCCGGCGACTGGCATGCCCGCATCGCTGGGGTCAGAATGGAGGTTTTCCTTTTGGCTTTTGCCTTTGGTACTTGCTCTGTCAGGTTATCGCGGGCGGACTGTGCTGTATTCTCGACAGCATGTCCAAGCACCTTCTTGGGTGCTAACGTTTAGGAACATCTTCATGTTTTCTCACTGATTTTTCACGCTCCTGTTGGCACCCAGCAGGTGTGGAACACACAGTAGGTCATCGCCTGCATCCCCAGGGTGGTGGCTGAGGGCTCTGATGAGAAGGCCTGGCACTGCATCCACTGCTTGTCAAGTTACCTGCGAGTGACCTTTGCCCTGCTGTTCCCGGGCCTCTCCCTGTCTCCTCCTGGCTGTCACTCCGTGGGAGTTCCTCCCTGTCTCAGGATGGGGCTGAGCTTGTGGTTAGCTCCACTTATTTACCAACTGTCTTGTCCGCTCAACTTGAGGGACAGTTTTGTTTGCGTGAAACCAGCATTGACCTGTGTCTGAACATAGACGCCCCGCTGCCGCCTGAGCGCCCCACTTTTGCTGGATGGAGATGGAGAGGGGGGTGGTTTGGGAGCTCAGGCACCTGAGCGTAAACAGACGGAGGAAGCCCAGCATGCCTCGATTCTGACCTGGAACCAGAGCACAGTGCTGTCTTCAGCTCCTGCTTCCGTCCAGAAGCACGTCTACAAGTTCCCGCGGCGAGGCACCGTAGTTTCCAGGTGGTCACGGGATGAGCTGAACATGGTGCCGCGGTGTCACCTGTTGTCCGGCTCATGGCGCTTCCTCGCTGTCCCGTCCCGTCCCGTCCCTCTGCACTAGGCAGGGGGATGAGGCTTGGAGCAGCTCCGCCTGAATCATGGGGCTCCCTAGCTGCAGAGGGGGTGCTGCCCAGGGCCCCTGAGCGCCAGGGTCCAGAATGCACATAACCTGAAGCTCTGCTCTCGGGACTTCCACCCGTCGGGGAGGCCTCCAGGGGCAGCCCACGGAGTGCGCACCCTCATGTTTGTGTGGCTGAGAGCCACGTGAAGCCCTTCTTGAGTTGCTACACTCGGGAGGTGTTCATGTCTCTGATCCTGGCAGAGGCCGGCTCTGCTGCAGGTGTGATCCTGAGGGAGGTGGCTCTGCTGCAGGTGTGATCCTGAGGGAGGTGGCTCTGCTGCAGGTGTGATCCTGGCGGAGGCTGGATCTGCTGCAGGTGTGATCCTGAGGGAGGTGGCTCTGCTGCAGGTGTGATCCTGGCGGAGGCTTGCTCTGCTACAGGTGTGATCCTGGCGGAGGCCGGCTCTGCTGCAGGTGTGATCCTGGCGGAGGCCGGCTCTGCTGCAGGTGTGATCCTGGCGGAGGCCGGCTCTGCTGCAGGTGTGATCCTGGCGGAGGCTGGCTCTGCTGCGGGTGTGATCCTGGCGGAGGCCGGCTCTGCTGCAGGTGTGATCCTGGCGGAGGCCGGCTCTGCTGCAGGTGTGATCCTGGCGGAGGCTGGCTCTGCTGCAGGTGTGATCCTGAGGGAGGTGGCTCTGCTGCAGGTGTGATCCTGAGGGAGGTGGCTCTGCTGCAGGTGTGATCCTGAGGGAGGTGGCTCTGCTGCAGGTGTGATCCTGAGGGAGGTGGCTCTGCTGCAGGTGTGATCCTGCGGAGGCTGGTTCTGCTTCAGGTGTGATTCCTGAGGGAGTGGTCTGCTGCAGGTGTGATCCTGGCGGAGGCTGGCTCTGCTGCAGGTTGATCCTGGCGGAGGCCTGGCACCGGGTTGGAAGAGAAATCCTGTGTTCCAGAGTTGCCTGTGGTCATGTGCTCCACAGACTCTCTTGCAGGGTGACTCTTCTCTGTTCACTTTCCCGGCCCCAGCGAGCGGAGCTGGAAGTGCTGGCGCCTTCTCAGAGGCACTAGCTGGCAGGTAGTCTGTGCAGGTCCGAGCTGCTTTTCCGTTGAGGGCTGTGTGCTGGCTGGGACGGCAGTGATGAGCGTGTGGAGTTGCTGATGTCACTGGTAAGATGAGTCATCGTTCCTCCTGCGCTGGCTAGTTCAGTCCGGGGTTCCAGGTCCTCACAGGAACTCGAGTTCATTTTTTATTTGCACCGTCAGTTTGCTGGTGAAGTCATTTCTCTTGTAATTGGATAGACTGCCCCAACGGCAGGCCGGCAGAGTGACATGCATGCCTGTCTGCCCTGGGGAATGAAGCTCTTAGGCTGGAGGCCACTGGAGAGGTCGGTCGGGTGGGGAACAGCCCCACCGAACCTGTGCTGTGACCGGTTCTGGATTCAGCTCACTGGACATGGCCCATCCCAGGCAGCATTGAGCGGCGAGAGGAGACTTCTTGGAGTTTGGGCGTTTACTGGATGTTAGTCTCAGCAGGCGGTGCTCCTGCCGGTGGCCACGGCTGTGATGCTCGCTGACCCTGTCGGCCTTTGGTCTGGGGTCTCGGTGCTCTGTGGCCATTACCCCGCTCATGCCGCCGTCCCTCATGATCACACTGTGGCGAGCACCAGGGAAGGAGGTGTCCCGGGCTCTCCGGGCTGCTGGAGCCAGTGATGGCTGAGGGCTCTAATGAGAGTCCTGCTTCACTAGCGCCGCCCTGCTGGGGAGGCACCTGGGCGAGGGAGACTCCTGCTCTCCAGTTACAGCGCCTCCAGGAAGGTCCTCCGGCCACGGGGTCAGCTTGGAGCCTGGAGCATTGATGTGTGAAGACTGTCGGGTTTGCAGGTCATTATTGGAGGAAAACAAAGACAAAATATTTGCAGATAAAAATTCTTAATTTACCTTGAAACGCACAGGCTGATAATGGGAGGTATTGGCATACGTTGTATTGCCAGTTTCAGTACAAAATTAACTAAGGTGCATGACAGGTACCTGTGGCATAGGTGTAGGCAGGGCCTTGGAAACAACTCTAGTGTCAGTAAGAAACACAAGTGTTGTCCTGTTGCCTGGCAGCACAGGCTTACTGAGCTCCCCCTCCCCCTCTGGCTGTGCCGGGTCAGGGCGGAGCGCTGCCACCTGGGGATCTGGCCCATTGAGAAGTGCCTGGCTGCTGAGGGCTGTGAGCTGGACCCTGGGCTGGGTGGACGGATCATGTGGCGTCTGATGAAACCAGCTTTCCCTCTAGACAACGGTGCACGCGCACGCACAGGCCTGTCCCGGCAGTGCGGGTGGCGGGGCCACACGGAAGGTGTCCCAGGGACACGTGGAGTCGTCTGGGGCTGACCAACAGGGCGATGGAAGGTTCAGAGCAGGAAGACGGGAGCTTGAAGGGTCCCTGGTGACAAGATCAGAGGGGGCCCCTCGGAGGTGGGCTGTGGGAACCCAGGCTGGACTCTCCTGTCCCCATGAAATATTCCCCGGCTTAAAAGGGGAAAGGCGTCGTTTTCCATGGGGTTTGCACCACTGACCTCGCCACAGGAAGTGGAGTGTGACCATCTGGGGTCCTGACCGTGTGACGTGGGTTAGGTGGTGGGCGCCAGATAATTAACGCTGGCTTTTCTTCCTTTGCAAGGTACGGACATTGTTGCGGGAGAAGAAGTTGCCATCAAGCTTGAATGTGTCAAAACCAAACACCCTCAGCTCCACATTGAGAGCAAAATCTACAAAATGATGCAGGGAGGAGGTAAGGCCGCACCGCTAAAGACGGGGGTTGTGGCGTGCGTCCGGACCGGGCTCTGGCCTGTTTGGGGGAAGGGAGGGAAGTGCCCGCACCCTGGACCCAGCCGGCGTCCTTGTGGATGCTGTCCTGTGGACTTCCAGCTCCATCACTGCTTCCCTGGTCTGCGGGCAGGGTCTGAGCTCAGGGCCCGTGGGCTTTGACTTCCAGCACTGCTGGTCCTTCTGTGCCACCTGGTCACATGCTTTGCTCACAAGCTTGGGCGGGGGCCTAGGGGACTTCAGACTTTTCTGAGTGAAACTACTGCAACCCCTTCGAGCTGAATTCCTGCCCCAATTCTGTCCCCAAACCTTCCCGGGGGCTAAGGGTACCGATGTCAGAGGCACCCTTCCTGACCTCAGACTCTACCTTTGAGAACTTTCTGGACTGAGTAATTTTGCAGATGGAGCAGGAGGGAGTGGGTGTATAAGGGAGTCTTCGTGGTGGAGGTGCCGCAGCCTGGAGAGGACTGTCTGCTGTCCCCAAGGGGCCTGGGCACAGGGCCTCGGGAAGCTCTGGGGAGCGCCCGGGGGTCCCCCACAGCACAGCTTCCCTGCAGGGGAGACCTTCTCTCCACAGCAGCCGGGTCGCTGCTGCTGCTGCTGCTGCTAGAGCCAGCACTTGGTGCAGCACAAGCGTCTCTAGCAGCAGAAACGACCAGAGCCGCACTCGGTCCTGCAGGCCCTGCACGGGGTGTCCGCCGGCTCGCCTGCGTTGATGGGACCAGAGGCCTTCAGCTGGCACACGGGTGGAAACCTTCCCTGACGTCCCAGGGAGAGGCCGCAGAGGACCTGGCCAGGGTGCTTGCCCCCCGCGGCCGCAGCAGAAGGCAGTTCTCAGGCACAGCTTTTAAGGAGGTGGCGAGTAGAACGGGGTGACTCAGGATGTGGCCTCCGCGGGGGAGGAGCCTGGTGCTCGGGTGGAATAGAACCACTCAAACGCCTGTTGGCTGCTCAGGAGCAGCACCTCTTGAGACCTCCCCAGCTAGGGCACCGTCTGTCATTTGTCATGGGGCTGCCCCCTGCACCTGCAGGAGCACCCTCACCCAGGCCGGAGCGATCAGAAACGTCTCTAGATGTAGCTCAGTGCCTGGGGCCAGCACTGCTTCCCGCCAGAGCCCTGTTCTCGGAGCCAGTGCCACGACTCCCAGGCTCCCCTGGCCCTTCTCCGGGACCGGCCAGTGCCCCACACTCCCCTTCGCCACACAGATCGGGTCCCCGTTTCAAATGCACACGCAGTGGCTGCTCTCCAGGTATAAGACTTGTGTTTTACTCTGTTTTTTATTTATTTTGTTTTTTTGTTAATCCGTACCTGAGGATATTTTTCCATTGCTTTGTAGAGAGAGTGGAATGGGATGGGGAGAGAGTGAGAGAGACATCGGTTGGTTGCTTCCTGCACATACCCTGACCGGGGCCGGGGATCGAGCCTACAGCTGAGGTATGTGCCCTGTGACCAGAATCAAACCTAGGACCCTGGAGTCCGAGGTTGACGCTCTGTCCACTGAGCCACACCAGCCACAGGCAGGCCTGTGTTCCAGAGGACTGCATCCAGACCAGCCGAGCACCTCTGGGCGAGTCCCATGAGCTCACTGACCACGGCACGCTGCGGCCGGCAGAGGGAGCGGGAGTCGCTTGCCCGGAGAGCAGGGCTCTGCTGGTAACTGCCTCCTGTGTGCGGCCCATGGCACTGCAGGTCGCTTGTTGCTGACCTGGGAGAGGGTCACGTGTGCTGCGCAGGGACAGCAGGGGAGGAGCGAGCACCAGTCCGGCAAGATGCACCGCAGCTCGCTCAGGTCCCCGACCACGGAGAGTTCTGGACAAGGACAGATAAGCCCATGCTTCCCTCCTCCCCACAAATCCAAGATTTCACCCATAGCTCTGGTTTCTAGCAGTGAATACAGAGTTGCATTCGTCTGTCTCCTAGAAAACAACTGTGGCGACTTTGATAAAAGTTTCCTGCACCTTCATCTTCCCTTCCTTTGTCTCTTGACCCCGCTGTCTACTGGAAGCGCCCTTGGACTAGAGGTTAAAGCAGGCCTGATCCATCTAAAGACGTGTGTGCCTGCGTGGTCTGAACTCAGGAGGCTGGGAGCAGTGGCGGGACTGTTTCTAGCTTTTTCAGAATATTACACAAATCACTTACACTTTCTGGAGACACCCCAGAAATTAAATGTGTAGGATTGTGGTCTTTTTCTTGCAGGGGGCTGGAGGAGGAATAGAGGAAGGAGTGGGTAGGAGTCCATTATTAGGACAGACTGGTCCAAAGTGGAAAACGGAATTCTGGCCAGTGTGGCTCAGCTGGCCGGGCGGCATCCTGGCACCCAGAATGCCGGTTCACTTCCTGGTCAGGGCAGTATCCGTTTGCAGGCTTGGTCGTCAGTCCATGTTTCTGTCTCTTCTTTATTCCTCTCTTTCTAAATCAATAAAAATATTTTTAAAAAATAGGGAAAGAGGAGAAAAAGAAGAAAGATGGGCTCATGACCCCTGCTGCGAGCAAGCCTGTGTTTCAGAGTCTTGGTGTGGTGTGAACCTGTCCGATGCTCTGGCGATGCTTCTTCCAATAGAAAAGGAGTTTGAACAGGGAAGTCCGAGAAGAACCTGGAAAAAAAGACACTGTTTACACCACGGGGCCCACCGGGCGGTCAGCCACCACAGCCTAGCGCCTTGGCAGTGAGTGGGCGGCAGCAGTTTGGGCAGCGAGAGCAGGGTCAGACTCAGTCGCTCGGTGTGTGCTGCTGCACTCGTCCGTTCCGACCTGGGCGTCAGCACGCAGGCTGCAGCCTTTCCTCCTTCCGCGACGGCGCCCTCTGCTGTCAGGCACCTGGGGGCCGACCGGGAAAGGTTAAGCGCCGGGTCCCTGCTTCCTGTAGCCAGTGCCTTTGGGATGGGCGCAGAGGTATTCTTAGAACATCTGACCAACTCAGGTTCTTACACGTGAACCCTGTGATGTGGGAGGCCTGGCCCCCACAGGAAGGATCCGGTGGGTGGAGCGGGTCTGAACAGGAATCAATCCTCACCCGTCAGCACCCTCGTCTGGCCTGTTCACACCATTTCCAGTCTCCCGGGAGGAGGTCCCGTCCAGGCCCGGTTAAAACTGTCTCCTGTGATACACTGAAGATGCGGGACGAGGGCACTGCCCGAGAAGCAGCTCCGATTGGCAGTGAGCTGGTTGGGTAGGCTGGGCACTCAGACAGGTGGTCTCCATGGTGACAGGACACCGCGTTCTTGCTGAGCAGGCCTGAGCAGCTGCCGACTCAGCCCTAACGTTGCTCATGGGCCGGAGAACAAGCAGTGCAGGAACACGATGCAGAACATCACATCAGGAAGAAAGCCAGGCGCACAGGAGTGTCCGCTCACAGCTGGGCCGCTGGCCTGGGAGTGGACCCACGGTGCAGTGGTCCCAGCGCGCAGCATGGAGTGATGGTGGCTGGAGTGGGCACACGCGGGTGTGGGAGCAGCAGACCTGCAGCTGGTCCCCAGCCACCCCCTTTGGTCCCATCCTGACTGCCTGGAGCGAGGAGGCCGGTGGTGGAAAACCCTGCTCGGAGACCATGCCTCCCAGAGGGGCTGGGCCATCACTGCTCTCACACCTCATGGCTTCACTCAGCACAGGCAAGGTCCTCTCATCTTCCCAAGGAAAACGGCTTCCCTGGGCAGGCCCCTTCCAGCTGCTGTTCTGGAAGTGGAGCCCAACATAGCAAGCAGGTCCTGGGGGGTGTCGTGCAGCCACAGGGACACGGACAAATGGTCTGAGTGCCTCTGCTCCCCTTCCCAGGGGGAGGGAGGTGCTGTGGGCCTGCTTGACCCAGTATCAGCACTCTCCATGCTCCTTGAAACCTGACCGCTGGGCCTCCTCGTAGGGCAGGGCCGTGGCTCTCTTCCCCCAAGAGGCAGGCTGGTGTGGCTTCCCTGAGCTGGGTCGCCGTGTGGCTGATGCTCTGGCAGGAGGGGCACTTCTGGGGCTGTGTGACCTCCACAGCTAAGGTGCCTGTCTCCTTCCATCTCCTGCCCCTGGGACAGAACACTACCAGGGTCGGTCGCTAGAGAGACTCCAGGCCTTGGGTGGAGTTCTGGACACTCCCCTCCATTGCCTCGTGCTCCTTCAGGCTCCCGGGGTCAAGCGTGGTCACGGCGCAGACAGGAAGCCTAGTCTTGTGTGCATGGTGACCCACTTAGCGATGCCAGCCCTGTGCAGCAGCTGCAGCTCCCAGCACCTTGGCACAGCCGCCTGCAAGCTGCTGGGTGGATGCAGCCCACAGTCTGCTGAGCCCTAGGGTCCTGGTCAGACGGCTGTTGGCCCCAGAAACTGAAGTGTAATTATTTTTCTTTATGTGTTCTTACTGGTTTTTAGAGGGAGAGAAAGAGAAACATCAATGAGGTTCATTGATCGACTGCCTCCTGCATACTCCCTACTGGGAATTGACCCCACAACTCAGGCATGTGCCCTGACCAGGAATTGAACCGGCACCCTCTTGGTGCAAGAGTTGATACTCAACCACTGAACCACACCAGCCGGGCTAAAGTTTAATTCTTAAAATAGTTTAGTCAGATACGAACCACAGGTGACTAGGAATGTATCTTAAGCCACGTGAGACCCATGTGCAGAGGACATAAAGTTTGACGGGGGAGGGATGCTGAAGATGACTTCCACATGTTCCTGGCATGATGACTCAGCTGTCATTCCTCCCAGAGCCCTCTCCATCCAGGCTGGGCAGGATGTTTCTTCACATGTCAAGCTGACTTGAGACCTGCAACAGCCAAGGTCCTAGGCTGACGACATCCTGAAGGAGGCATGAGGCACGTGCCCCGCAAAAATCAAAGCTCAGTGGCTGCAAGGAGTGACAGCCTGGCATCCAGATAATGGCTTCTCCGCGTCCTTTCCCACAGGAGCCTGGCGGCTGGGCCCAGGGCGGGGTGGGGTGGGGGGGGGGGGGGGGGGAGGCAGTCGAGCAGGCTGTGGCTCGGAAAGTTCTCGGGCCAGTGGGCACTTGTCCAGAGGGCACAGGAGCAAGCTTGGAGGGGCATCTGTTGGCCAAACGTGGGATAACTGGGACCTCGGAACTAGCAATGAGGTCCAGCCCCTGGGAGAAGGGAGGGGCATCTGTGACCCCCTGGTGTGCGCTCACACGGAGCGCCACAGAAAAGTGCAGAGGGAGCAGTCGAGTGGGAAATGGCCTCTTTATTGATTGGTCCACGGATGCAGCCCACACCTTCAGGGGGTGGGTCTGACCCCACCCTGAAGCTTGGTCCACAGAGGAGGGTAACGGGGTCAGGCCAGCAAGCGGGGTTGTCCTCAAAGCTGCCTAAGCACCGAAGCCTGTGGTGACCACACAGGTGGCCCTGATGGGACTTGGTTGGGGGGCGCTCTGGAGGACGGCACAGCTTCTGGGACACATACAGTCTGAGTAGATTGTGGCCCCGTGGTGCCGCCCTCGCGCGAGCTGGGAACTGACCCGCAGATACCAGCGTGTCCTGTGCAGATGTGATTCCGGTGGGAAAGGCCTCACCCAGGAACCCGCCCCCAAAGTGAAGCAGGAAAATGTATTTGTTTTTAAGTCAGCTTTACGGGGGTGTGATCAGCGTGTGTTTTAAGTGTGCAGTGTGACACCCTCATGGGACCATGACCATCACCAGGAGTGTTGCTGTCTCCATCGCTCCCAGAAGTGTCTAGACCCCCTTGGTCCCTCCACCCCACTCTGCTGCCGTCCCGGGCAGGTTTTCATTTCCTAGACCCTCTGGAGGGGAGCAGGCTGGTGTCAGTGGTCACTGCGCGCTCCTGCCCCCGACGTGTGTCCAGGTGCAGGGCGCTCCCCCAGCTGCTGCGGGTCTGCTCAGACGCTGTGGGCCTTGGCTCCCTTTTCTCTGGGCCAGGATGCCGGCTGTGGTGGTGGTGCTCTTCAGCATCCATTTCGTCCGAGTCGTCGGAGTTTCCCGTCAGCCTCTGACTGAGAGACTCGTGCCTGCATCTGCTTCTCTTCCCTGCAGTCTGATGAGAGGTTTGCCAAACATCTCACAGAGCCAGCTTTTGGTTTCAGCACATTTCTCTGTTTTCTATTTCATTGATTTCTGCCCTGACCTTTTATTTCTGCTAACTTGAGGTTTCTTATTTTTTCAGACAGAACTGAGATCCTTGATCTCTTTCAAACACAGGTGTTCTCTTGCTGGCAGTGCCCCACATACGACTGTCGCAGTGCCTGCTGAGGCCTGCTGAGCTGGCTTCTCGTTTCGCTGATCGCTCCCTGGGTCCAGGCTGTTGACTGTGGTGCACGTGTGCAAGCAGCATTTACTTTGCTTCCCTGCAAGAAGTATTGTCTCTGCCTCTGACATCTTGTCCTCGCCTGAAAGGCTGAGAGCTGTCATCATCACTGTTGCCACTCGGGCTTGACGCTAGGTGCTGGCTGTGACTGGGCCGTGCAGTGTCTGTGATGTCCGCCTTTCGCCGGCAAACCAGCTGGCAACTGCCATTTCACGGTGCTGGCAAAGGACGAGACTCCACAAGCTCCACGGTGGGACAGCAGCTGGAAAGCCCTGGGAGAACCCGATTGGGTGGCTTCCGGGTGAGGGAGCCGCTGTCCCTGTGTGGAGGGGCCCGCACAGCCTGAGGGGCAGGCAGGCACCAATTGCATTGAAGTGTCTGGGGAGCATCCAGAGCTCTCTACTCTGTTCCCAACGGGGGTGCTGTTGTCAGAGCACACTGCACACAGCCAAGCCCTTGACCTCGAGCGAGGCCTGTCTGTGGGGCGCATGGGAGGGTCCTGCTGTGGAGACGGACCGAGCTCAGCCAGAGGGGCTTGTCTCCTGTCGCTTTGCTCCTGGCTCGCGAAGCCCTGCTGTCAGCGGCAGAGGCTTAGAGGCCGTTGTTGATGAATGGGTGCCTTGGTCACTAAGAAACAACTGGTAGTCCTTTCCGTCAGCTTCTGCGTGTGACACTAATGTGTGTTCTGTGCCTTGTGTCCTGTCTGTGCAGAGAGGGTGCCTGCTCTTGTGTGGAATCCGGGAATTCCATACAAGAGCAGGAATTGCTCCCGAGCTGCGGCAGGTCCTCCAGTAGCATCGTTCCTTGTGAGGGAGCGGCCGTGGGGACTTATTCTCGTGTGTGGCAGTCAGGCTGGATCCGGGTCGCCCACGTCCTCGGCCAGCCGCCGGCCTGGGAGGAACTTGCTGTTTCTGCGTTCCTGGGGCATCGCCTACCTCTGGTCTGCGGTGGCTGGAAACGTAGGTTTTGTCCCTGCTGGAGGCCTCTGCGGCCGGTACCTCTGGGATGCCAGGCTCCCGTGTTCTGAGGAGAGGCTGCAGTCCCCGCCTCTTCGCTCCTTCCTGTGTGGGCTCTCTTCCTTGGGGCTCTTCTGTGAGCACTGCTTGTCGGACGGCAGTGTGATGGTCTCTGTGACTCTTGTCCGTGGGCCGGTGGGTTAAATGCCGTCGTTTGTATTTCTTCCCGTGGGGTGTCGGTCCCTGTCTTTCTCTTTCCTCTCCTGGGGGCTCTGGTCACAGAAATGGGGTGCCTTGCAGTTGTCCTTACGTGTCACATGCCTTCAGGGCCACAGGTCCGGGTCTGCTGTGACCCCCCCCATGTGTTTCCCACCATGCACGCTGCAGTGTCCTCTCTGAGAGTCCGATGGGAGTCCCTGAGGATCTCCCCCGTGATCGGCCTCACTGAGGGTGCTGCTCGCCAGGTCCCTGGACGCTGCTTCAGCCCACACCCCTCTTCCCTGCCCCTCGTCCTCTGTCCTCACTCACCGTGTGGGCATCACGTTCTCGCCTTGGGTCCCGTGACTGCTGCCCGCCTGACCCTGGTCAGAGAGTCACATGTGAGCGCAGGTGTGTCAGGGGCTTTGACCCCACCCTGGCCGCGCTGACACCGTGTCCCTTCCAGTGGGCATCCCCACCATCCGGTGGTGCGGGGCCGAGGGGGACTACAACGTCATGGTGATGGAGCTGCTGGGGCCCAGCTTGGAAGACCTCTTCAACTTCTGCTCGAGGAAGTTCAGCCTCAAGACCGTCCTGCTGCTGGCCGACCAGATGGTGAGTGCGCCTCGGCCCGCCCGCTGCCTGTGCTGGGAGGAAGGAGAAGTTCATTAACCTTTGCCCCCAGGCAGGGACGTGGTGGCTGGGCTTGGGGAGCCACCGTGGGCACAGCACACCCACGTGTGGGGCCTGCCTCCCGGCTGATGGGACCACAGAGGGACAGCTGCTGCAGCCGCTGTCGGTCCCCCAGGAGAGCCCACCCCAGGGAGCTCCCGGGAGCGGGTGGGTTGTGTCCCGTCCCAACTATGGAGCGCTGCCCCGGCCGAGGGTGCCCACACGCAGCTCCAGCAGGTCCTGGCTGCCGGGCGGAGCCGCCTCCAGGCACTGTCAGCTGACCCGCTGCCGCGCTCCTGCAGATCAGTCGGATCGAGTACATTCACTCCAAGAACTTCATCCACCGTGATGTGAAGCCGGATAACTTCCTCATGGGGCTGGGGAAGAAGGGCAACCTGGTCTACATCATCGACTTCGGCCTGGCCAAGAAGTACCGGGACGCCCGCACCCACCAGCACATCCCCTACCGCGAGAACAAGAACCTCACCGGGACGGCGCGGTACGCCTCCATCAACACGCACCTTGGAATCGGTGAGCCCTGGGACCTGGGAGTCCGCACCTGGGGAGGCAGGCGGGCTTCAGGGCCGTAGCGCTGCGACTGAGGTGTGGCGGGTGGGCGGGTGGGGGGGCGGTGGGCGGGTAGGCGGGGGCGGGGGCGGGGGCGGTGGGCGGGGGCGGTGGGCGGGTAGGCGGGGGCAAGGGGGCGGGTGGGGGGGCGGTGGGCGGGTGGGTGGGGGCGGTGGGCGGGTAGGCGGGGGCGGTGGGCGGGGGGGGGGGCGGGGGGCGGGTGGGCGGGTAGGCGGGGGCGGTGGGCGGGGGCGGGGGGCGGGGGGGGGCGGTGGGCGGGTGGGTGGGGGCGGTGGGCGGGTAGGCGGGGGCGGTGGGCGGGTAGGCGGGGGCGGTGGGCGGGGGCGGTGGGCGGTGGGGGCGGGGGGCGGGTAGGCGGGGGCGGTGGGCGGGTGGGTGGGGGGGTGGTGGGCAGGTAGGCGGGGGCAGGGGGCGGGGGGGGGGGGGGGCGGGGGGCGGGGGGGGGGTGTTCCCTGGCAGCTGGGACGTGGGTGTGGCTCCTCTGGGAGTCACAGTCTCTAGTAGCACATCTGGGGCAGATTCTTCAGCAAAGAATCCAAGTGTATTTTTTTGTGGTTTTTAGAGTTCGTTTCCAAAGTAAGTGTGTGCTTGCTGCTGCTGCCGTGGGCCAAGTTTTACCCGTTTCCTCCTCTTTCCAGAACAATCTCGAAGGGACGACCTGGAATCGCTGGGCTACGTGCTCATGTACTTCAACCTGGGCTCCCTGCCCTGGCAGGGGCTGAAGGCTGCCACCAAGCGGCAGAAATACGAACGCATCAGCGAGAAGAAGATGTCCACGCCCATCGAAATGCTGTGCAAAGGCTACCCCTGTGAGTTGCCTGGGGCCTGTGCGGGCTAGGGCCTCGGGGAGGTGACCCAGGCAAGCCCCTTGCGTGGCAGGGGGCCGGGTCTCCGGACATCTGGAGCCACAGCTCAGGGCGTTGTCCTTTGCTGCGTGGGGATGCCTCTGGGACGGGCCCAGTGAAGCCAATGCTCAGTGCGGCCACATTCTCTTTTAGAGATTTTTTTACTGGTTTTCGGAGAGAGAGAAACACTGATCGGCTGCCTCCTACACACCCCCTACCAGGGATCAAACCTGCAGCCGGGCATGTGCCCTGACAAGGATCGAACGGCAGCCTTGTGTTGCATGAGTGACACCCAGCCAGCTGCCCCACTGTGGCCCGGGCAGCGTGCATTGTCTCTCTCTCCCAGCCCTCCATCCTGCACCATGTGGCGGCGCTCAGGCTCCCTGTCCCGCCCCTAAGTGAGGAGGGGTTACCTGTTGCCGGTGCTTCTGGTTAGCTCTGAGTTTCTTGTTTTACAGCCGAGTTTGCCACGTACCTGAATTTCTGCCGTTCGTTGCGTTTTGATGACAAGCCTGACTACTCGTACCTGAGACAGCTCTTCCGTAACCTATTCCATCGCCAGGGCTTCTCCTACGACTACGTGTTTGACTGGAACATGCTCAAGTTTGTAAGTGGCATCGCCAGCTTCTGGCCTTTCGTGCAGACAAGAAGCAGCCCACCAGCCAAGGCTGCAGCTGTCTGCTCACGTATGTGTGAGGCTCACGCGTGTGTGAGGCGAGCTGCCTGAGTCAGGCTCGGAGCACGTATGCTGCACTGGAGCTGGTGTTCCTGCCGGGAGAGGTGCCTGCCGGGAGAGGCCCAAGAAGCCAAGAGCCCATGGGGAGGCACAGGCAGACATGCAGGTGGGGGTGTCCACCCGTGGGAGGGTGTCCAGAGCCAGCCCTCTCAACACCGTGTCTTTTCTCGTTGAACGCTCCTTTTGTTATGGTTACCACAGCTCTTGGGGGTGTGGTTCTGAGCCCTGGGGTGTTGCAGTGTGATGCCCACTTGTCCCTTACGCAGGAGGAGTGGCTGAGACAGGCTTCTGCACAGGGTGTGGCCTGGGAAGGTGCTGGGTGCTGAGCCCGACCTTGGCCCTGCAATAAGCTAGACTCGTGTTTGTTACACGTGTGTTCGATTGCCCGCACGAATGCTGCAGGGGGTGAGGGCCGAGCTTGAACTTTAACTTGTTCCCATACAAGTGGGTGAGTTTGTTAATTAATCTGTGGACATCACGGCCAGGATTCCAGCTGTTTTAGAACTTCTTTCCTCTTTCCTCGGAAGCTCGTTCTCTTAGTCGTGAGCTTCAAACAGGAATTGGAGCCTTTCCTGGTGACAGCCGGACTAAGGGTCTGAGCCTCCCTGTGCAGAACTGGAAGCTTTCCCTGTGCGGGCAGGTCGTGCCGGCCAGCATGAGGCTGCCACCTCCAGGGGGAGGGCCCGCCACAGAGCCTGCCTGACACAGACCTGGCCTGTGTGTCCATGGAGAGCCAGGTGGTGGGGAGAGGGGCCACCAGTCAGAGCCCCTCGCAGCCCCCGTTCTGAACCGTCCTCAGCAGGCTCGGCCGGCCTTTTCTGGTGAAGGCCACATAGCACCTCGTTTGGGCTTTGCAGTCAGAGCGGTGCTGCCGCCACCCCACTTGGCTGTCCCGGGGGAGGCTGTGGGCGGAACGTGTGCAGAAACAGATGGGTCTGGGCTTGGCCCCAAGGCCAGAGTTTGCAGACTCTCGCTGTCAGGGCTGGGAACCGAGTGTAAGCTTCCGTGTGCGGTAGCCTAGCTGTACCACGGGACATGAGTGCCCGTGCAGTGGCTTGGAACTGACTGAGAGTGAAGTGGCTGCCTGTGCCCAAGTCTACCACGTGGCCCCCCAGGACAGGCCTGGCCTCTGCCCTCGGGACGAGAGCCCCAGCATCACCTTTGCCCTGGGTTCAAGGTCTGGACCGAGAGGACTGCCGCTCATGCCTGCTCAGACTCCCGCCATCCACCTTCAGGCGGTTTCCTGTCCCTGTGATTGCGGGCCGAGAAGAGGTCTCCCCCCCCAGCCGCTGCCAGGGTTGCGCTGGAGGAAGTGCTGTAGCCGTGGTGGGAAGTCGGAGGGGCCTGGCTGCCCGCTCCCCACTCGGGACGGGCTGGGCCGGAGAAGCATCTCGCCGGCTTCGCCTTGCTCACACGCACGCCCCTGGTGTCTCTCGAGTTGGGATGCCTTGCAGGCTGCTCAGTTCCGTCTCCTTCTCTCGCTGCCCAGGGTGCCAGCCGGGCCGCTGACGATGCCGAGCGGGAACGCCGGGACCGCGAGGAGCGATTGAGACACTCCCGGAATCCAGCCACGCGGGGGCTGCCTTCCACAGCCTCCGGCCGGCTGCGGGGAACACAAGAAGTGGCTGCCCCCACCCCTCTCACCCCTACCTCACACACTGGTGAGTGCCCTGGGCCCCAGCTTGAGCCACGTGCCCACCCACCCCACCCCAGCAGGCAGGGGGTTCTGTTAGGGGTGACCTCGGGGGGAGCCAGCTCTGAGCAGGGTCTGGGCTGGGAGCTGTGCCTCCTGGGGGTGCCTGTGTGGCCCTCTTCCAGCTCCCGAGGTTGGACAGGCGAGGGAGCAGTTTCTCATTCTTGGCGCACACATCCCCCCACCAGTCTCCATCCCCACTTCTTCCCCATCCCTGACAGCATCCCAGCAGAGCCCTGCGTACCTGCCCATGGGACACCCGCGCTGGTGTCCCCCTCGAGGGCCCTGCCGCAGGCCTTGGGCAAACTGCTGGGCAGCGAGAGGCGCAGTGTTGGCTGGGGCGCCTCCCTGTGGCTCTGTTAGCCGGGCGGGTGCAGGGTGGCCTGCTCCGGGTCGCGCTGAGGATAAGCTCTGGGTGCAGCTGAGGGGGCCTCACTCCTGCCTCTCCCTCAGCTAACACCTCTCCTCGGCCCGTGTCCGGCATGGAAAGGGAGCGGAAAGTGAGTATGCGGCTGCACCGCGGCGCCCCCGTCAACATCTCCTCGTCGGATCTTACGGGCCGACAAGATACCTCCCGCATGTCCACCTCACAGGTATGCGCGCCAGCTTGCCGGGGTGGGACGCTGCCACAGGCTTCTCTCTGTGTGGACTGGTCTGTGGGCTCCAGGCGGGGGGCGGGGAGGGTGAGGGCTTGGAAGGGTCGAGCTGATGAGGTGCCCTGGCCCCTGGCTGCTCTTGGCCCCCGTGGTTGGGAGACAGCTGTGTGGGTGCAGGGCGCACTCCGCCGTGCGGGACGGAGCGGGGCCTCTTCTCTGCTGCTGCCCCAGCCAAGCTGGCCTGTGGCTCGGCGTTCCTGCGCACACTGGCCACACTGCCCGCACTGTGCCCGCCGGCTCTGGGTTCCCGGAGGCACACCAGCCTCGGGCTCTTCTCTCCTTGGTGGTCACGTGGGGTGGGGTGGGCGAGGCCTGTTGGGGCTCCCAGCACCTGGTGACGTCGTGGGTGAGGATCCCCGTCTTGGCATCCCCGTGCGCTTGTCCTCTGGGGCCTCGTGGCGTCCTCTGCGGTTCCCTCTGCCCACGTGGCTCCCGTGGCTGTGGTTCTGTCGTGCAAGCACCTCTCTCAGCACAACAGCGTTTTCCCTCGAGTGCTGCCAGGGGCCCTTCCGTGACAGGGATGGTTAGGCGTCAGGACCCTGCCCCTGCTGCGACCATTTCATGGGGTGTCCCAGGGGAAGTCGGGTGCAGGTGGCCCTCTTCACTGTGATGCCACCTCGGTGTATAGGTTAGCTCCTGGGCCCCACGGCCGGGCCTGGTGGATTCGGGGTGTAGCTTGTTAGTGAATGGGGTGGTGTGGGCACAGTGGCTGGAGAGCTGCAGGACCTGCTGGTCTCTGGCAGAGGACCAGGTATGCCAGGCGGAGGCAGAACTGACCACTCTGCACCAGCTGATCGCCTGGCTGTGACCCTGCTGGACACGAGGGCTCCGTGCCTAGCTCTCCAGAGACTGGAGATGCAGGTGGTTTGAATGCAAGGGGTCTGGCCGGGGTGATGCTCCCAGCCCTCCTCCCTCCCCTCAAGATGCAGCAGGGCTTCAGGGGCTCCTTCCCTCGAGCCTGTAATCCATGAGTCGGCAGCGGGAGCAGGTCCTGGGAGCCGTCCATCCCCCGTGTGTGCAGTGGCGCTGTGGCCTGGGGGTGCCAGGGGCTCTGGGTGGACTCGGCGTCTGTGTGTTGGGGGACCCAGCCAGCAAAGACCGGGGAAGGAGCCGGCCTACCTTCCTACGAAGAGAAAGTGTGTGATGGGTTTGGGATCGCTGAGGAAGTGGGAGAGTCAGAAGTCCCAGGTGGGAGTCCAGCTCTTCAGCGCGGACCACGGCGTCCTGAGGAGGCTTAGCCGCTGCCGCGAGCTTATCACTCGTGTCCTTTATGCTCCTTCTCTCTCCTCCCTCCCTCTCTCTCTCCTCCTCTCCCCCCCCCCCCCGGAGGAATGGAGGTGGGCCTGTACAGAGGGAGGGGCTCTGAGAGATTGGATTGGGGTGTTTCCCTCCAAAAGCAGCACCTCAGCGCGCGTCACTGGTCACCCTGGAGATTTTCTCAGGATGTTCATGCAGAGGACTCGGCCCGGGGGAGGTGTGTCCTGAGGCTCCATCCCGTTGTGTCTGTCTCGGTTCCTGGTCACTGTGGGCTGCCTTAGGAAGCTCTGAAAGGCCCCGTGGGCCAGCGTGAGACTCGAGGGGCTGCCTCGTCTGCCCTGGTAGTTTGGAAGTTAAGGCTTCCGTGGTTTTATAGCCTCCAACCACACGTGCTCCCCAGAGGAAGGGGGTGAGGAGAAACAGCCATGCTGTGTCCGCCTGCCTCCCCAGCATCTCTGTGCCTTGAGGAGGAGACAGCCGGTGCCCATGTGCCTGGCCCAGCTTCAGCAGGAAGGGCCTCGGTGCCAGCTCGCCAGTGGCAAGACCTGCTGCCCCTCTCCAGCTGGGTGTGGCGGCGTCGACCTCTGTGTCCTCCGTCCTGACCCCTGGCCAGCCTGTGCTCACGTCCACGTTCTCCTTGAGGGCAGCTGTGCTAGGCCAGCCCTCGGGGCCTGTCTGCATCCCTGGCCCTGGGTGCCAGTGGCCGCACAGGGAGCTCCAGGGCGTCCAGTGGGGAGCCCAGCTGATGCGCTCAGTCCCGCAGTGCTGTGGGCAGCGCTGGTTCCGGGCCGTGGACTGCGCGGTAGTTTGAGCCACATCCTGCCTCCCAGCGAGGTCCCTCCTCCCATGTCAGTGAGGAGATGTGTCCGGTCGTGTGTCGTAGGGAGGCACAGGCTGCTCCGAGCAGTGACAAGGCTGGCAGCTGGGCGTCGTTCTCGCTCCCCCACCCCGCCGGCCTTGGGGACGGGTCATCCTGGAGGAGCCGCTGTCTGCTCTCGTTTGGGGGCAGGTGAGGCTGAGCTCCTGGGCGGTTCCTGGGTCCCTTGAGGCCCCCAGGCCAGTGCTGGTGGCGGCGAGGCGAGGACACGCTTCTAGGAAAGGAGCCTCCTCTGGGCCGGCCCGGCTCCTCACCAACAGCTGTCTTTTCCCCCCACCTCAGAATAGCATTCCTTTCGAACACCACGGCAAGTAGCTGCACGTCTCCCGTTGGAAGGCAGCACTGGGTGAGTGTGCTCATGGCCTGTCTCGCCGACAGCAGGACCAGGGCGGGCGGGGCTGACCCCTGCCCACAGGGCGCACGCAGTGGGCTTGGTCTTGCACGCCAGGAGCTGCAGAGCGAGCCCCTCTGCCCAGTGCTTTCCCTCACGGGTTCCAGAACTGCGGTCAGGGCCAGTCGGGGTGGGGAGCCAGCAGGCGGTAGGCGGTTCCTGAATGGGTGACCCCAGGGCCTGCTGCTGTGAGTCGGAGCCTGTGTGGGGAGCGGACCGGGCTCTGTAGTGCGCTGGGTCCGGGTCGGTTGTCGGATCTGTCAGTCGTGCTCAGCTGAGGGGCCGCGCTTGGTGGGGCCTCGTGTGCTCTTGCTGCGCGAGACTCCTGTGGTCTCCGCCGTCTGGCTTTGCCATCTCTTCCTTCCTCGTTTATTTGTCTTCCTCGTTTTATTTTTCTTTTCAAAGTTGGTCTCTGCCCGGTATCTTGTCTCTGCTGTGTGTGTACTAACCCGTCGCCCAGCACTGCTCCCTGCCGACGCGCATGGCTGGGCGCCCAGGCCGCGCTCCCGTCTGGCCATGCAGGGCGGCTCCTCCCCTGGATGGGGGCTGGCGGCTCGGCCACGTGGACCTGCTGGGGCTTTAACACTACGGTGCTCTAGGGACCTTCTCCATGGGAACCGCTTGTACCGCCCACCCCCGGAGGGTGGGAACCCCAGTGCCCTGGGGCCTGGCCCCCAGGCTACTTGAGGGGTGGCTGGGAGCCAGTGTCTCTCCTGCTTGGACTCTGTCCTGTCGTTGACGAGCTTCTCGGCCGCCTGCATGCCTCTTCCTCTTCCGTCTTCTGTTGCTGTTCTGCTGAGCACGTCCTGGCCGCAGAGGGCGCTCCTGGAGCAGCTGGGGGCACGGGCGTCCAGAGTGGGCGAGGCGGCGTCTGTCCCCTTCCTCCCAGGGCACCTCCCTGACCGGCCGGCCCCGCCCCCGGCCGCACGCTGACCTTGTCCTGTGCTTTGGCTCCGACAGATTCCCGGTCGGGTGGCTTCCAGTGGTCTTCAGTCTGTCGTGCACCGATGAGAGCTCCTTTGTGCTGTGAAGGGCAGGCAATGCATGGCTGATCTCCTGTTACATGGCTTTACTAGTGACGCTCCCCGGGCTAGGACACCGGGCACTCCAGGCCACCCACTCAGCAACGCCCGGGGGAAAGACTGACCGGACAGACTCCAAGCGCTGCCACCGCCGGGCTCCACTGAGGCCCCGGGGACGGTGTCCCGGGGCTGGGAAGACGGCCGCCTGAGTGCCAGACACTTGCAGACAGCAGACTCCGATCCAGAGCCTTTCGGTCCTCCCTCCGCGGTGGTGCCCGTGCTCCCCGATGAGTCTGCTGTACCACCATCTTCTACTTGGTTCTGACAGTTTTGTATCATTTTGCTAAAAATTACTGGCTTAAATCTGTGTAAAGAATCTTTTTATTGTTTCTTCTCGTCTGTTTCTGCGGTCTTAAAAAAGATGACCTCAAGTGTCCCGCCTCAGACACCGGCGTGGAGTTTCTGTAGACCAAGGTTGGCGGGTACCCTGCTGCCAGTGACGTTTCCTGCTTCTGTTTGGTGTAGTCCACCGTGGAGAGGGGTGTTCTCCCGGAAATTGTCACGTGTACACGTGTGTAACGTGTCTGTGCGTGTGTTGTGTGCTGTGTCCTGTGACCTCCTGGTTTTGGCCATCACTCCCTTCCACCGTCACTGAGCCGCCAGGACTCGAGTCGTCAGAGCCGTTAGAAGGGCGGAGCGAGCGCTGACCCACCTCCCAGACGCGGCAGTGGACCAGGTGCCTAGGACCCCGGGCCCAGGACGCGGACGCGGAGGCTGCGCCGGGCCCTCCTGGGTTGTGCGCGGTTCCTTTGCTGATGGCTGTTGCCTGGGGGCATTTTCTAGACAGACTGTAAATATTAGCGTTGCAGAGTGGCCCTTCCGTGTGCTAACATCTGTGTACTCAACATCTGTCCACCTGGGATGCAAGTTTGCCCAGAAAGAGGCTGGCCAAAGGGAGCCCCCTCTGAAGTGACCTGAGGCCCAGGAGGAGGGTATGTCCTGCTTTGAGCCCAGAGGACGGGAAGCAGGCAGCGCCGGGCTGCCGTGTGCGTGCCCCAGGCGGTGGCAGAGTAGCCGGGGCCCCCGTCTCGGAGCAGGGCACAATGCATACATTCGTAGGTACTCCCACTCCGTCACCCCACGGCACCTGGGGAGCTTGTAGGAAGCTGTTAGCCTTTAAAGGTGTCCAGGTCCATGTCCCTCCTGCCCCGCGTCCCACCGCACAGGGGCGCTGGTCCTGGGACACCCCGGTGGGTGCACCGATGCACAGCTGGCTGCCCTGCAGGTGCTGGGGGATGTGACTAGCGGGTGAGTCAGCAGGGGCTTCCCTCGGGATGGGTAGCCGCAGTTCACCCAGCCCTCCCGCTGGCCGCCGACAGTGTCACATCGATTGCCCCGCCACGAGCCAGTGTCTGCAGCCCGCGGGGTGGTGTCCGACTGCATTTGTGTGACCACTGTATTTGTGTACTTACCACACCGTGTAAATAATAAATATATGACGTCTACCTTTCCTCCCCGCCCAGCATGTGGTCTTTATTTCGTCAGCGCCTTTCAGCGTGGGTGATTTCAGAGCCTGGGAGCAGGTGGACGGGTGGGGGTGGGGGGGTGCTGCACTTGTCATCGCCCATTCCCAAGGCCAGGGCAGGTGGGCATGCGACCCTTCCAGATGTGCTGAGTGCCTCGGGCCCTTCCTAGTGGCCCCAGGCATGACTCCCGGGTGGCCCGTCCTCTCATGGCCAGGCCTTTGGGGGCAGGGAAGTCCACAGGGCACCCAGTCCTGATCGGTAAGCCAGGGAAGTCCTGTGACAGCAGCAGGCTGAGCTCCCCGCGGGGGAAGCCAGAGGGCTGCACAGCCCAGAGGGCGGGCAGCTACCGAGCCACAGGCTGTGGGGCTGGCCTTTCCAGACCTGACAAGCTTTGCCCAGGGCCCCTCTGGCCCACCTCCCCCGAGGGGTCAGTAGATGCAGGGCGTGCCTTGGCCTGGGAGTGCCGGCTGAGGGGACAGCAGAGGGGGTGCGGACAGGGCCCCGGGGCTGCTGCGGCGCCGAGCTCCCGGGCGGTGTCTGTCCTGGTGGCCGAGCCCAGAGGTGAGCCCTCGCTTGCTTTTCGTTGCAGAGGAGCAGAGACGGGGCGTCTCTCCGGCTGCACTCGGCCCGCCAGGGCGCCCGCTGCCGGCCCCAGCGCCCTCGACGCACCACCTACTGAGGCGGCCCCAGCGGCCCCCGATCGGGGTCCCAGCCACGCAGGCGCACTGGCCGTGAGGGCAGGTGGGTGTGAGGGACCTGGGCGAGGCTAGGGCTGGTCAAGGAGGACGGGAGCAGATAGGACCCGGGTCTGACCGGACGGCCAGGCAGCCGCCTGAGGGTGAGTCAGTAAAAGGCAGAACCTAGTGGTCATGCCGAGGGCTCCCAGTGCCGGCGCGGGCCCAACAGCCCTCTTGTTGAGAAAGTGAGGTTTGGGGGAGCGGTAGACCACACCACACCTGGAGCCAAACTTCGCTCCTCCTACGCGCAGGTTTATTCCAGACCTCCCGGCTGCAGGAGGGAGCTGTCCCCAGACACTCAGGGTGGCGAAGGGCATGGTGGGTGCAGGCAGGGGGGAAGGTCTGGCCCCACCCTCTGATTAAAGTCTCCAAAGGGTGGGCTCTAGGTCCTTGAGCCCCACTGCGGGCACCGGTTCTCCTGGGGTCGGCAGGCCGGGTGCCGGCGCCTGTAACCTGGGGCTTGGCTTCACCACAGATCGCTTTGGAATGACACGGTTCCCACCCGCCGCCTCCCCCGAGAAACTGATGAGGTGACAATCCCCTGCTGGGGGGCCCCGCCTGAGATAGTCCCGTTTGTGAAATAAATATGAACCTTGACAGCCTCCGTCCGGTTCCCTGCGCCCGCCGCTCCGAGCTCAGACGCTGGTCTCCGGCGTGTGAGCCACCTCCCCTTGCTTCTCAGGCTCCGCCTTCAGGAAGTGCTCCACCTCCCTGGAGTCCACCCCGTCCCTGCCGTCCGCAGGGGGCTGGGGGCCCTGGCCCTCCGTGGCCGCCCCCGCGGGCTTCCTCCCGATGCAGAAGAAGTTGCCGAGCAGCAGCACCAGGGAGGCGGCCAGCACCTCCGCCCCGGCCAGGATGAACACGTACTGGTAGACGTGCGTGGCGTCCAGGAGGCGGCCTGCGGAGGGGACAGGGTCAGCGTGGCCGGGCCCCCACCCTGCCGTCTGGTGCCTCCGACGCCTACCTGGGGCTGTGCGCTGGGAGCAGGGGGCGGCCTGGCGAGGCCGGCAGGGGGAGGGCTTCCTCCTGCTCAGGACCCTCCCCCCGTGAGTCCCTTTCCCGGGACGGGCCAGGGTCTGGCCCGGCTCACCTCCGGACGGGGGCCCGATGAGCACGGCGATGGCCTCCAGCAGCAGCACGAGGCCGATGGCGCTGGAGAAGGCGTGGGTGCCCACGATGGCCATGAGCACCTCGAACTGCAGGGCGCCCACCATGCCGTAGGAGATGCCGAAGAAGACGCAGAAGACCGCCAGGCCCCCGTAGTCGCCGGCCGTGGAGCCGGTGAGGTCGGTGAAGCCGTTGAAGAACATGGCGAAGCTGAAGAGGTAGACGGAGTAGGGGCGCACCTTGGGGAGCCCCGCCAGGAAGCCGGCGGCCGGCCGCGCGAAGATGTCCACGAAGCCCAGCACGGTCAGCAGGAAGGCGGCCCGCGTGTCCGGCACGCCCAGGTCCTTGGCGTAGCTCACCACGAACACGGGCGGCACGAACAGCCCCAGCACCATGATGGAGGCGGCCGCCGCGTAGATGACGAAACCGCGGTCCCTGAAGACGCTCAGGTCCAGCAGCCGCCGGGCCGGCCTCTGGGGCGCCCCCGCCCCCGCCCCCGCCCCCGCCCCCCGGGGCGCCTCCAGGGGCCGCATGAGCGCGGCGCACGCGCAGCAGTTGAGCAGCAGGCCGCCCAGGATGAGGAAGCCGCCGCGCCAGCCGTACTGCTCCTGCAGCAGCTGCCCCAGCGGGGACAGGGCGCACAGGAACACCGGGCTGCCGGCCGCTGCCAGCCCGTTGGCCAGGGGGCGCCGCTTGTTGAAGTAACGGTTAAGCATGATGAGCGAGGGCTGGAAGTTGAGCGCCAAACCCAAGCCTGCAGCGGGGGAGCAGGGGGTGAGAGCTGGCCCTGCCCCCGGGGCCCGCCCGCCCCGCCCGCCCCGCCCCGTGTGTCCCCAACACAGGCTCCTGCCTGGACGGTTCTTTGTGGGCTGAGGGGTGTCGGCGGGGGGAGACCCAGTGTGTGTACAGGACGCCCATCACCGCCGGACCCGCGGGAGACAGACGGGAAAGAGGGACAGACAGGCTGGCGCCGGGGGCGGGATGACAGGGGACTTTTCCTCCACGGGCCTGACCCGCCGCGCCCCGCCCCACCCCACCCCGGCCGGCCGCTCACCGGTCAGGACGCCCGTGGTGAGGTACAGCTCGATGACGCTCCTGCAGAAGGAGGCGGCCACCATGCCCAGGGACGCCAGGAGGCCGCCCACCAGCATGACGGGCCGGCAGCCGAAGCGGTTCACGCACACGCTGCAGAGCGGGCCTGGGGGCGACAGTGCCGATGGAGCCCACCTCCCCCACGCCCGGCCCAGCTCCCGCCCACCCTGAGGCCACAGTGCACACAAAGGGGTCCCCAGGCAGAGAACCCACCATCTGTCTGAGAAGGGGGGTCGGCCTTGTGTGCTGGGACTGCACAGCTGGCAGAGGAGGCTGGCCCCACCCGGGCCAGACGGGCCCCTCGCCTGCCCCAGGCCCTCACCTGCCCCTGACCCTTTCCTATCCCAGGCCCTCACCTGCCCCTGACCCTTTCCTATCTCAGGCCCTCACCTGCCCCTGACCCTCAGCTGCCCCAGGCCCTCACCTGCCCCTGACCTCACCTGTGCCGTACAGCATGGCCAGCAGGATGGAGGAGATCCAGGCCGTGTCACTGTAGCCGATACCAAACTCGAGCATGAGCTCCTTGAAGAAGACACTGACCGCCTTGGGGAAGGCGTAGGAGAAGCCTGTGATGACGAAGCAGCCCAGGAGCACGGCCCAGCCCCAGCCCCCGTCAGGGGCCTTGACACCTGTGGGGCCCTCGTCTGCCACAGCCCCTCCCATGGCCAGGGGGGCGGGTTCCGAGTCCCTGAGGGAGAGAGAGCAGGCTCACTGGCTGTCCGGTGCCACCCAGCCACCGCCCGGCAGTGAGGACGGTCGGGCATAGCACACACCAAGGGCCACACCAGGCCATACCCTCCTCAGCCCCACCCTGCCCCGCCCCCAGCCGGAGCCCAGCTCTGGCCGCTCCCTGAGCCCCACCTGTGCCCGCCGCCCCCGCCTGTGCTGGGCCCACCCTCCTCCCCAGCGGCTGGCACTCAGCTGGCTCCCAGGGGCTGTGGAAGCAGCCTCCACACCCCCCTCGCCGGCAGCTGAGGCTGAGGCAGGCCCCTGGGGGACCTGGACCTGATCTGGGGGTGGTGTCCCCTTGAGACCTAAACGCAGGCCAGCCTCTCTCTCCCTCTGCCAGGGAGATGGGCTGCCCCATGGTGGCACTGACCGGGGCAGAGCCTGAGGTTGGGGGCAGGTTCTCCCCGGGCAGGACTGGCCTCTGTGCCCTGTCCACACAGAGGACCCCACCTGCTTGCCCTGCCCACCCGTTACTAGGCACAGGCCACAGCTCCTGGGGAGAGGCTGAGGCCTCGGGACAGCCGAAGAAGAGCTGGGGCGGGCAGCAGCGGCCCAGCCCAGTTGCCCCTCGGAGGCTGGAGTTTAACCCCTCAGGTGGGGGCGGGGTGGGCAGGGCAGCCAATCAGCCCCTGGAGAAAACCATGCCAGCCCAGGCTGCCCAGCCAGGAGGGAGCCAGCTGCCCCCGAGGCCCCACAAGCCCCACAGCAGCCACAGCTGATCCCCAGCTGATCTCCCCTTTAAATCCCAGGAATTTGGCTTGAGGCCCTGGAACCTGGGGCCCCACTTCCAGCTGGAGATCGGTCCCCCCTGTCTTCACCCCCCGCCCCTGCCCCTCCGGCCGATCCTGGCACCAAAAGCCTAATCCCAGATCAGCCTGGCGGCCCCGTCCGCCCACCTCACTGGACAGAAGCTGTTCCGAGGGGAGCCGCCTCCCGGTGCGGGTGCGGGTGCGGGTGCGGGGAAGGCCGGTCACACGGCCGGCTGCTTCAGCGGCACCCGCCCGCGGCCACTGGGTCTGTCCTTCTGTCCGTGCCCGCCACGTGCTCTGTGGGGAGATGGATGTGGAGCATTTGCAAATCCTGTGGTTTAGATACTCCACCTGCACTGAGGCCAGCACTTCCTGCTGTCCCCTTCCCACCAGCCCGCCCGGCCTGGGCCAGCTGAGCTCGGGTTCAGGGTGGAGGGCAAGGGAAGTGGAAATAAGACAGCTCCCCACCCAGCACCCAGGCCACGGCGCTGTGCCCGCGGGGGCCCTGATGGAAGTCTGGGGGCCTGACTCGGATGTTTTCCAAGGGCTTCCTGTGTGATTCCGGCAGCAG